CCTTTCTCGAGGCATCCGCAACACATGACCAAACCATCGCAGCTGTGACTTCCCAGTCTAGAGAAGCAAAGGCTCTATTCCAAGGCTCTTCCAATGGTCAGTATTCCGCACCACGTCGAGACGCGCAAGGTCAGCGACTCGTCTAAGAAAGCCCACTTCAGCAGCTTGTGCCCGGGTTCGAAATTTTTCAGTGATGGTCCACAATTCATCACGGTAGGTAAGTATGGGGATAATGATCGACTTGAATATTGAGAGCTTTGTTTACAGACTGAGTTCGGCCTTAGTCACAGTGGGCCGGGCTAGTTCACGCAGAACGCCAGTTGTTACTCCAATTCGCCAGTCGATCTTTTTCTCCAATTTTCCACCACTAGTAAAAACAGTTCCGAGGTACCTGAACCTCTCCACCTGCACCACTGCCTCTCCGTTAATCTGAAGAGAGCAACGGGCAGAAGAACGAGAAAGAACTAGGCATTTCGTTTTAGATGCGTTCACACCCATGCCGGTCACGTCGCACTCGGCTGCGAAACTTTCTAAGGAGCACTGGAGATCAGTTTCGGAAGATGCCAATAAAAGCAAGGTGTCGCACTCGGCTGCGAACCTTTCTAAGGTGCACTGGAGATCAGTTTCAGAAGATGCTAATAAAACAAGGTCGTCTGCAAACAGCAACCGTCGACTTGAACATCATATACCGATACCCTCATCACCTTGGCAGCGCCTGACTATTCTATCCATGTGCAACACAAACAGGATAGGGGACAGAACGCAGCCTTGGCGGAGACCAGAGCGAACACTGAATGGTTTCGACATAACGCAATTAACTCTGACACAGCACCTGCTATCAGAACACAGTGATTGGATGGCCCTTAGCAACTTGCCATCATTCCCGTATGCACGAAGGCATGTCCACAGACTATTTCGTGGGATCCAGTCATACGCTTTCCCTAGGTCCACACAACACATGTACACCGGTTGCGCGTACTCCCACGATTTCTCGACAATCCGGCGCAGGGCAAAGATATGGTCAGAGGCACTTCGACCGGTCCGGAAGCCACACCGCTCTTCTTGGATCTTGAGGTCAACTATTTCATGGCGCCTCCTTTCTAACACCATTGCATAGATTTTACCTGGGAGCCTCAATAACGTTATGCCCCTATAATTGCAGCATTCTTTGTTTTTTCCATTCTTGAATACGGGTACAATAACTCCCGTTCTCTACTCCGCTGGTGT